GTCTTGTTCCTGTTTTCAAGGGGAATGTTTTCAGCCTCTCTCCATTAAGAATGATGTTGGCCGTTGGTTTTGCATAGATGCCCTTTATTATGTTGAGAAAAAAAGGGAAATATTTTTCACTCTCTCTTTATTTTTCATTATTGCCAGTAATCTCAGTCTCTAAAAAAATTAAAATTTAATTGTTAACATTTATGTGACGTGCTTTTATTGCATTTTTATATTCACTTTCTGTCACCACTTTTGAACATCAATGACCCAAAGACAAGTAATGACTTACATTGTTAACAGGTGCTGCGTTAGAGGTAGAGTAGTTGGATTAAAGTAGCTCTGAATGTTTTTCAAAGACGTCAGCTCTGTGCTAGCATTACAAACCAATAATGCATGGACCACTGCTGTGGAAAGAATATAGAAAATAAACATACAGTGTAAATAAAATGAACCATTAAAAAAAAATCTGTATTAAGTATCAATATAACTCAGAGTTCAGCTACTGAATTAATCACACGACATAAGATAAACCCTTAAATACGTGCAGAGCCCCCTCAAAGTTTTACTAATTAAAGTACTATACTGTTCGCTTATTCATACTTTATATATCGACAACCACAAATTGCATAACTTAAACTGGGACTCCAAACATCAGCAAATGAATAAGAACAACTGCTTTAAAGGAGAGTGAGAATGGTTGCACAACTTGAAGAATGTAATCATGTCACTAAATTGTACATGTAGAAATTGTTGAATTGGTTATGTTTTGCTGTGTATATTCTCAACAACAACAAAAATAAAATAAAATGAATTATTAAAAAAAAAAAGAACAATTGCTCTGAGTTGGTGCATGGTGGCACGGCTTGAGACTAACAGTTTCACTTAGTCAGCATACCATCTTGGACTATAACAGTATTTGTATAACTTTTGAACATTTTCTTGTATTTCTACCTAAATTACTTTAAAGAACTACATGGAAAGCAGAAAATCAGAATGCTGATATTGGTGAGGAAATAATTTAGACATATATGAAAATATGCATACAAAAAGTGACAGATGTTCACTTAATTAGACTCTTATTGAACTCAAGTTAATTGACTAGGTTTATTCAGTTAAGAAAGAAAAGACCAAAAGTTAAAAAGTATATGAAATACTAGAAACATGCCATTAAACACTGTCTTTAATTAGTTATGAACCAAATTCAACCATTAAAAATTATTCCAGAGATCAAAATGCACAGAAGTCTACAGATTCATAGAACTGAATAGGTATGTATTCAGCTTACTAACGATTTCTTTATTAAAAACAAAATAAGGCTGCTAGCCTGCTGTCTTATTAAGAATTTTTTAAGAAAGAAGACAAAATACCCTCAAAGTAAAAAATCCCACTTTCTTGCTCAACCCTCTGCAAAATCTCTCGTAAAATCAACAACACCTTGATGTAAAAGTAAATTGCTTACTAAAGGTACATTCAAGTACACCAAATGAGAAAATTCTTATTTATGTTTTTTATATTTTTAAGCAATCAAGCATATATTGTGTAAATTTCAACTTTATAAAAATATTTAAGCAAAGATTAAAAATTTTAATAGATTATTAGTCCTCTGGGACTTGAACTGCAGAGATGTTTATATATTCAACTTTCATATACATTTTGGGAGCCCCTTGTGTATAATAATATATTTTTTGTTTGTTTTAATCAAATAATTTTACACATAGTTAGCATCTTTGCTCACAGTGCATACCATGTGTATCATTCTTTTTTATATAAATTAATATGGGCTTGGTAATACTTACTGTTAGTGGGCCAATTAGAAGGGAAATAGCCTTTCAAAGGCAGTAGCTCCACCTCATTGACAGATGACGGCCCAAAGAAAGCACTGCAGGCAATAAAAGTATCTAGTTCAAAGTCCAGGGTTTTTGAAATCACCCAAAGATCATCTGAAAAGACAAACAATTTTTAAAGGAATCAGAATGATGCTAAATCCAAAGCTAAATATGGACATCTTAGATGCTTAAAACCCGTTGCCACTGAGTTGATTCCAACTCATAGCAACCGTATAGGACAAAGTAGAACCACCCCATAGGGTTTTCAAGAAGCTGCTGGTGGATTTCAACTGCCGATCTTTTGGTTAGCGCCCTGAGCTCTTAGCTATTGAGCCTCCAGGCCTCTTAGTCCTACATTATTTCACAAAAAAAGAAAAAAAAAGGGCAAAGAACTCAATCAAAAAATGGGTGAAGGACTTGAAGAGACATGTCACCAAAGAGGATATTCAAATGGCCAACAAGCACATGAAAAGATGCAAAGTCATTAGCCATTACCTCGTTGCATTGCCATAGAGTCAATTCTGACTCACAAGGAGATGCAAATCAAAACCACAATGAGATACCATCTCACCACCGCCCCCCCCTGCACCCCGCTAGAATGGCAATGATCAAAAAGATGGAAAATACTAGGTGTTGGCAAGGTTGTGGTGAAACAGGAACCCTCATCCATTGCTGCTGGGATTGTAAATTGGTACAGCCATTCTGGAAAACAGTTTGGTGGTTCCTTAAAAGTTGAACATAGAGCTACCATAGATTCAGCAATTTCACTCTTATGCATATACTCAAAAGACTCGAAAGTAGAGACGCAAACAGACATATTTACACTGCAGCACTATTCACAATAGCCAGAAAGTGGAAATGACCAAAATGTTCATCAACTGATGAATGGATAAACAAAATGTGGTATATATATATATATATATATACACACACACACACACACAACGGAATATTACTCAGCCTTAAAGAGGAATGAAGTCCTGATCCATGCCACAACATGGATGAACTTAGAAGACTTTATGCTGAGTGAAATAAATGAGACACAAAAGGACAAACACAGTATGCTATCATGTATATGAAAGAAGCAATTATAAAGAAACCATAAGTAATTAGCAGTTACCAGGGACAGGAGGGATGGGGAAGTAGAATGCATTGAATGAATGTTAATGGTGGTGGAATAATTTGGAAATAGATATTGAGAATGGTTGCACAAATTAAAGAATGTGATCAATGTCACTAAAGAGTAGAAATGATTAAATAATGTATGTTTTATTGTATGTATATGATTATAATCTATAAGATTCCATCCAAACTAAGATCTGAACAAATTCATTTCATTTCAATATTTTTAACTTGATCGGTTTTATAATTACTTTTTAAAATTTGTTTTATAATTATAAAAAACAATGTAAATAAAGCAAGGAAAACACACCTAACTAATCTTTTTATTTTCAAGTGGCTTTATAGCTACCTCGGACTTGCCCAAGGAAGAATACTAGACTAAATAGATGCTCTGCCATAGAGTGGTTTCCATACTCACAAAAAAGTCACCAATTGTAGGTAGGACACAAGTTCTCCTAATGGATCTCCACTTATCTGACTCGCCAGATTAACCAATATTCTTTTCTTCCATAAAATATCTCTTGTACTTTGGACATGTTATCAGGAAGAACCAGTCCCTAGAGAAGGACATCAAGCTTGGTAAGGTAGAGGGTCGCAAAAAAGAAGACCCTTGACAAGATGGATTGGCATAGTAGCTGCAACAATGGACTTGAATACCCAGCAAAGTGATATGGTACAAGATCAACACACAAAGATCAGTTGAGTTCTTCTACACTAACAAGGAGGACTCTGAAAGGAAATCAAGAAAACAATACCATTTACAATAGCCCCCAAGAGGATAAAATACCTAGAAATAAACCTAACCAGAGACATAAAAGACTTATACAAGCAAAAAGTATAAAACACTACTGCAAGAAACTAAAAGACATCTACATAAATGCAAAAAACATTTCATGCTCATGGATTGGAAGACTTAACATTGTGAAAATTTCAATACTACCAAAAGCGATACAATGCAACCCCAATCCAAATCCCAACATCATTCTTTAATAAAATGGAAAAACTAATCTCCAACTTTATATAGAAAGGAAGGAGCACCCTAATAGCTAATAAAGCCATATGGAAGAAGAACAAAGTAGGACGCCTCTCACTTCCCGATCTCAAAACTTACTATACAGCCATGATAATCAAAACAGCCTAGTACTGGTTCAATGACAGATACATAGACCAATGGAATAGAACTGAGAACCCAGAAGAAAACCTATCCACCTATGGGCAGCTGATCTTCAACAAAGGGTCAAAGTCCATCCAATGGGGATGAAACAGTCTCTTTAACAAATGGTGCTGGCAAAACTTGATATTCATATGCAGAAAAATGAATCAAGATCTATACTTCACACCACGTACAAAAACTAACTAAAAATGGATCAAAAACTTAAACATTAAGGCTAAAACTATAAAATTTCTGGAACACAGGGGACACAGTCTTTGGCATCAATAGCCTATCAAACAAAACTAAAAATGCATGAATGACAGAAGATAAATTAGATACCTGGGACGTCCAGGTTAAATACTTATGCTCATCAAAAGACTTTACCAAGCGAGTAAAAAGAACCTACAAACTGGGAGAAAATCTTTAACAAAGATATATCTGATAAGGGCTTAATTTCTAAAATATATAGAAAACTTCAACAACTCAATAACAAAAAAACAAAAAATCCAATCAAAAAATGGGCAAAGGACATGAACAGACACGTCACCAAAGAGGACATTCAGGCAGCCAACAAATACATGAAAAGATACTCGCGGTCATTATCCATTATCTGTTGCCATCCAGTAGATTCCGACTCATAGCAACCCTACGGGAACAGCTGGTGGATTCAAACTGCCAACTTTTTGGTGAGCAGCTGAGCTCTTAACCACTGTACCACCAGGGATCCATCATTAGCCATTAGAGAGATGCAAATCAAAAGTACAATGAAATACCATCTCACCCCTAAAAAAATGGCAATGATAAAAAAAAAATGGAAAACAACAAATGCTGGTGATGTTGTGGTAGGGACTGAACTCTTATCCATTGCTAGTGGGATTGTAAAATGGTACAACTACAATGGAAAACAGTATGGCACTTCCTCAAAAAGCTAGAAATAGAAATACCTTATGATCCAGCAATCCCACTCCTAGGTATATACCCTAGAGATATAAGAGCAGTGACACGAATAGACATATGCACACCTATATTCATTGCAGCATTATTTACAATAGGAAAAGGATGGAAACATCCTAAGTGCTCATCAGCAGATGAATGGCTAAACAAATTGTGGTACACACATACAATGGAATACCACGCAACTATAAAGAACAATGGGGAAACATGACATAGATGAATATAGAAGACATTAAGCTGAGTGAAATAAGTCAATCACAAAAAGACAAATATTGTATGGTCTCTCTATTATAAAAAGTCAAGAATAGACATACATATAGAAAGGAAAGTTCTTTGATGGTTACCAGGGATGGGAGGGAGAAGGAAGGGGAATCACTTTCCAGATAGCAGACACTTGTTACTTTTGGTGATGGGAAAGGCAAGACCAAATATGGGTGAAGTCATCACACCTTGACCAAGGTAAATAAAGACACTAAGAAGTACACATCAAAAAGGGACAATTTCAGTAAATGCTGTAACAGATACTATTTTGCAACAATAGTAAAAACAATGAAAAAAGGTGCGTGGTTATGTAGGTAGATATGGATGCATATATGTGTATAGAAAGGCATATGCGAGTAAACGCGTGTGCACATACAGGTGTATCTGTATGCATATGTACATACATGTTTGTATGTGCTGCATATATATCCACATATATAACAAACCATACAGGGGGCACAGTTATGGAGCCGTCCCAGACATATCCAAACAACTCACGGGATTGGTTTACTGGGTTAAAAGGCTTGGGGACCACAGTCTCGGGAGACAACTTAGTCAACTGGCATAACAAAGTTCACAAAGATAATGTTCTACAACCTAGTTTGGTGATTAGCATCTGGGGTCTTAAAAGCTTGTGAGCAGCCATCTAAGATACAACTATTGGTTTCTACTTGTATGGAGGAAAAGAGAATGAAGGAAATCAAAGGCTCAGAGAAGAAACTAATGCACAAGACTAATAGCCCACACGAACCACAGCCTTTCCTGAGACCAAAAGAACTAGATGGTGCCTGACTACCACTATCAACTGTTCTGACCAGGGACAAAACAGAAGGTCCCAGACAGAATGGAAGAAAAACGTAGAACAAAACTCGAATTCGTAGAAAAGGTCAGACCTACTGGATTGATAGAGACTAGAGGAATCCCTGAGACTATTGCCCTAAGATAATCTTTAAACATGGAACTGAAGCTATTTCTGCAGGTCATCTTTGAGTCAAATAACAGATTGGCTTATAAAATAAACAGTATCACCCATGAGTAATGTGCTACCTTAAACAATGAACTATATGAGACCAAACGGTCAACATTTACCCAAAAGCAAAGGTGAGAAGGCAACCAGGAGAAGGGAAGATAGAGCAATAGAAACACAACAAACAGAATGGAAATAATGAGAATGTTGAGACATTGTAAAAATTGTAACCAATTGCATGTAACAATTTGTATAAAAATTATTAAAGGGAAACCTAATTTGCTGAGTAAACTTTCACCTGAAACACAATAAAACATCATCAAAAAAAAAAAAAAAAAAAAACCTTTACAGAGAAGTTTGTAAAACTTTATTTATAAGATATTATGAAAAATTTAAAGAAATGGAGAGATATACAAAGTTTAAAACAATATTGTAAAGATGTCATCCCTCAACAACATGGTCTATAGATTAAATATAATTCCAAACAAAATCCCAAAAGGTTTTTTCATGAAACTTGATAAGATGATTCTAAAATATATAGAGAAAAATGAAGAGCCAAGAATAGCCAGGTTACTTCTAAGAAGAACTGGGAGGCGGGCCTTGCACTATCAGGTATCAGGACTTACGAAGCTAAAGTAAGCAAGACAGTGTGGAATT